TCAAAAACTATAATTTACATACAATTTATATACAATTATGTAAGTTGTAGATATTTTGTATATTATTTCTACTCTCGACATACAAAATATAAACAATTTGTTTATGTCTTCATTTTCGAGTTTCAGTATGAAATTCCAACCAAGACCATCACGAATCTTCACCAAATTCTCTCAAAATTGAGATATAGACTCTAAATAATACTCTCAATCATTTGCAATAACACCCAATCTAAATAAATAATAATTATTTTTTTTAATGATTGTCAATGGAGTTTAAATTCAAATATTTATGCTTAGTTTAATCAATGCTTAAAAATCTTTATGCTTAGTTTAATCAATACATGTGGCACGCCCAATGCATATGCCAATGGTTTAATCTCTTCATTAATCAATATGATGCAAAACTTCAGACTATTTTTATCAATGGGAGAGTAATAAAGTTGTGCCAGTTATGTTCTTAGATTTTTTTAAAAACTAATTTTAGGATTTCCATATCTTCTCTTCATTCGTGACTTTTTAAGATCAGAACGTATTCTATATATTTTTAGTGATTGGTTACGTGGGGGTGGGGGGTTGGGATACGGTGTATTACTGAAAGACGTACAGTGGGTGTGGGTAGAAATCTGAAGGCTTAGGATGGGTTACCAATTAAAGCCCTATAATTGAGGAATATTAAATTTTTAATAAAATGTATATAATTGATAAATTGTATATCAACTTATAATTAAATTAAAACCTAAACAGTAAGGGTAAATAAGTTTTTAATTGTAAAAATCTCATTTGGATTTAAACTGGCTTTGGGTCCAAGTATAAAGTATTTTAATAGTACAGATGACGTAATTGTGAATTGATGTTGATGAATACACATTATATTGTATAGCTAATTGCGTTTCGACGAATTGGAGCATACGTTGGATATGTTAAGAACGTTAAAACTTTGAAAGAAGAAAATTGGAGGCTAGGTAAATTTATTAGACTTACTCTTCTGGATGGATTTTCTCTAGAAGTAAGTTTCGAGTTAATACAACAACAACAACAACATACACATGAGATTATTTATAAATATGTCTCTGTACTTAGAAACAAGTGGGTATGAATATCACCATATGTTTTTAAGTTGTGTTGCATATATAGTGTCATGTGATTTTATAAAAAATATTATTTTTAAATATTTGTTGGCAAAATGATACTTAAGGCAAATGTTAAGTTTTATTGAAAGCTTATGTATTAAGAAAAGTATAAATGTTTGAGTACTATAAATGTATTTTCATGAAAAGTATGTCTTTTTGAAACTTAATAAATAAAAAAATACTCTTTAATTCTTTAAATAATTGGTGTTAAGTCGCTAAAGTTTTAATATGCAAGATGTATTCATTGATTCTTAATCAAAGGATTTGGATTGATTATAAATAACAAGGTTTTTTTAAAAAGGATAGATGCTTTGAGCCATAAAGTTAAAATGACAAAGGGCATAATTGATATAATATTTGTCACTTTATATCAAATATTGATTGCATTATTTTTGTGAAGCCTTGTTTCAAGAACTTGAGTTAGAGAGTCTATGATACTTTTTAAGTACTGTGACGATGTACTCAGTCCTCGCCTCCAAGGTCATGCCTATTTTACATGTTTCAAGATGAGGTTTGGTACGTGATGTATGAACGGGATTAGGATGACTCTCTTCCCGAATTATATGGGCACTACTTCTATTATATGGTAGCTATCATGTTGTTCTTATTTTCTTTTAGTTGGGAATTATTCTAAGTGTTGATTTTATTCTTCGCTATAGAGGCTGAATATTTATGTTAGGTGGTAACAATGAAATTGTACATAACATGCATGAAAGATAATTACTTTATTTTATTCTATCATTTTTATAAAATGCTTCGAGTATCGTTTCAGATATAAAAAGTATTTCATGATTGTTTTTATTTTTTTTAGCAAATATACCATTGCTGCCTAGTAGCTAATATATATATATATATATATATATATAAAATCCCAAAAATATGAGTCCAAGTCTTACAAGGTGCCCAAATAACTCTAAAACTTGTAAACTAACACTAGCTAGAATAGTAGGTAATAAAAGCAAAACTAACAAGCTAGTTATTACATAAAGGTAGGATATAAGCTTCCATAAGCTAGTAGTGCAAGTGAATCTAAAGGCTAAGGGCAATAATCACATAGTAGCACCTCCAAAGCTATCACGGGGCGCCAGGTTATGCATTCCAAAATACAAGACTCCCATGAACAAGGCAAATAAGGACTCCAAACAGTCATACCACTGCATAGTAGCTATCCAGAACTGCCAGAAGCAACTGTTGATACTGCTTGTAGTCTGCAATCTTGAACTCCATCTACGTGCACAACAGCCCACTCTATAGCCAGATATGTAGCTAATTGAACAATACCTAATACATGTACCTTCAATTGTATAAATTAACAACTGCCTGCTTAAAACATGTGAGCTATATGATGCCTTTTCATCTCCAAAATAAGCATGAAACTACACTAATACCGCTGGATAATGATATAGCACTATACAACTAATTATATTTTCAACAATCTCAGGCAATAGTTGCACTTGTGTCTCAGCTAAGTCAATAGTACTCTCTAGTCTACTAACACACTGTGTGAGCTCATACACAAAGTGTGTATCAATGAGGATCCAGCATGCAACAATATATTCTTGTGAGAAGCAGAAGCAGTACCAAACCCTAGTAGATAAAAACATATCACCTTATAAACTTGTACTTGAGATGATGCCTTCCCTGCTTGCCCTACATGGTCCATATAGTATATCATTACCTCCAAAATGAGCATGTTGCCATGCTAATACCACTGAAAAGTAGTTACACGCTATACTGGTAAAATTCTGAACATGGGCAGTAGTAAGAGCAGACATTGAACTCAATCCCTTTCATCAATCTGGTGCTTTTTTTTTGGCAACCTTAACCCTAAGGTTCGGTATTTGTGCTTTGTTCATGTTTACCAATGTTTTTCCTGCTGTAGGTAGTTCATAAAATGAATGAAATATGATTGTACCTGCAAAAGAAAAAATAAAGTTAGCTAAAAAGTCTGCCACAACATTGCCCTCCCTAAGCACATGGTAAAAGAGCACATTGAAGGTGTTCTTCATATCCTTTATCTTCTTCCTTCTGCCCGTATGCACCAAGGAGACTCCCATTCTCCTTCAATTATCTTCTTTATCACCAAAGAATCAGTCTCAAGAATAAGAGGGTGTAGCTGTTTTTCAACACAATAAGCTAAGCCTTCAACAATTGCTTTTGCCTCTGCCATTATATTTGTTGCTTCCCCTGTCTCCACTGCCTTAGCAGACACCAAATTTCCACCACAATCTCTCACACAAAAGTCATAGGAGCTAGGTCCAGGATTGCCTCTAGAGGCACCATTAATATTACACTTGAACCATCCTTCATGAGGAAACTGTCATGTTACTCTTTTGGTCACAACACAAGGCTTGTAGGCTTCAAAGAACCTGGCCATATAACTTGAAAATATATTTATTTTTAAATGGCTTTCACTATTAATTGATTTTCATATATATGGTTGAGGTGCATCATATGGGTTTGTTCACTCTGGTTAGATAGTGTACTGGGTGCCAGTTACGTGAATTTAGATCGTGACACAAATAATATATAATGGTACACATCTCATCTTCTTTCATGTTCATCTCTTACTTCAAATTTGCTCAAGTTTCAATTCAAACCACCTCATATCTCCACCAAATCATCCAAAATTGAGATTCAAACTGCTTCAAATGGGTATTGTTTGAACTAAAAGATGAACATGAAAGAAGAGATGTGTATCATTGTATATCATTTGTGTCACGACCTAAATTACGTGACTGACACCCGGTACACTATCCGACCAGAGTGAACCAACTCATATGATGCACCTCAACCATATGTATGAAAATCAATTAACCATGAAAGCCATTTAAAAATAAATAAATTTTCATATTAAATCATGGAATACTTTTTATATCTGAAACTATACACGAGACATTTTATAAAAATTATAAGAGATATGGATTAAATGATTTTTATCATTAAAATAGAAGTTTTTAATGTGACATTACATGCCAAATGATTGTTTTTTTTATTTTTTGAGCCAAAAAGCAATTGTTGAGTGATGTTGTCGTCCCAAAAAAGTGATTTTGATAAATTATTTTCACAAGGGATCATCCGAGGAATTAACTCAAAAATCTGAATGCATGTGTACGACATGAATAACATGCACTTGGTAAATATTTTCTCTAACAATTATTATTTTTAAATTAAGTATCACAACTTGACAATAATGTAATCATGGACAGTTGAAAAGTTGAGTAATAGCTTTGACCAAGTTTTTTCTAGGCTAAAAGCACTTTTTTTTTAATTTAAAAAGTACTTTTGAAGTATTTGACCAAGTTTTTAGAAGGGAACAAATGCTTTTGAGTAGAAGCAGAAGTAGTTTTGGAGTTGAAGAAAAAAGTAGTTTGTCCCCAAAATCACTTTTTTGAAAAGCATTTTTGAGAAAAATTCGATTAGAAACACTTTTTAAAAGTTTGGTCAAATACTAATTAATGCTCAGAAGTGTTTTTCAAATTAATTAGGTAAATACAAATTATTTCTCACCAATAATACTTTTGATAAAAAATATTTTTCAAAATAAGTTTGATTTTAGCTAGAAACTTACCAAACATGCTTATAAGTCCTTAAACAATACCGAAGAGCCAAGACCAGCAAATATATTACTTAAAATCGGTAACGAATCTCAAAGTCCTACCATCAAAATTTTCAACGGGGAATCTGGATATTAGTATTATTATTGATCCAACTTCCTATGGTGTATGCAACTCCTCCTCAGTCCTCCCCTCCTGTTTTTTAATTCATTAAATTATGCATTTATCTATCTGATCTTAAACAGGTGTTCGGAGAATAGATCTTACAATTAAAAGTGTGACGTAGTGGTTCTTTTTTTTTTTTTTTTTTTTTTTTTTAAAGATCGATGGTACTTTCCTCCTTATCACTCAAAAAGGCTCAAACAGTCCTCTATACGAGTATAAATTCTGAGGATACAACATACTATAAGTGAGATATATAGATATCAAGGAATAAACACAGGCAAATAGAGAAAGGGAGATGGGGTTCACAGAGAAACAAGAAGCTTTGGTGAAGGATTCTTGGGAAATCATGAAGCAAAATATTCCTCAACTCAGTCTTCGTTTCTTCTCCTTGTGAGTACCACTTTTATATATACATGTACACACAGTTAAACGAATGCTTTTGCTTATAATTTTATAACCTGAAATTCAGAATCAGTGACTTTTTTACACAAACACACATATGTAGTCCAATCTAGTCTAGATTTGCTACTGCGTAAAAAGTGTGATGCATACAATTTTCTGTGTGTTTTCCCTATTTGGACTTCAAATATGATGCTATATAACTTGTCCAACTGTTGCTGAGCAATATTTTTATATCAATAAAAAGGTAATTTTAATGTGGTCGATTTAACAGGATCCTGGAGATAGCACCAGCAGCAAAGAACATGTTCTCATTCTTGAAGGATTCGGACGAAATTCCTCACAATAATCCTAAACTTAAAGCCCACGCTGTTAAAGTTTTCAAGATGGTTAGTAGTTGTATATATCCCATGCTCAACTTCCTTCTTCAATATTAATTAAGTAACATTTATCTTCCTTTTAATCAAGGATCTCCATTCGTCATTTTTGTGGATCTGTTCTTATTATAAATTTAATTTGATGCAATATATTCAATAATATTGTCCTATTTTGCTCGAATTTCTGAAAATATTGTTGGGCGCATGTCGGATCCTTCAAAAATAATATATTTTGTAAGAGCCGACGAGAAAGTGCCAATATTTAAACGAGTCTGCGCAACATATATATTGTCACAATCTAGTCTACATACACCTCATATTTCCCAACAAAGGATAAGGACCGTGGCATGCACATGCTCTCAACTTCGTCTGGTTATACGCATTAGCTTGGAAGTTTCTGCTTGCATTTTCCGTCTTACTATTTTTATATTTTTTCTTTTCTTGGAAGTTTCTCTAAAAGTTTATTTATTACTCCACTACTTTCTATTTCATTTCATATTTCATATGAACTCCAAAGAATCATTATCTTTCTATTTTTATTTTATAATCATGTATGAACATCCTTAATTCACTTTTACATGTCCACTATTCTAAAAATAGATTTTCAATTTTACTTGTCCACTTTCGCATATAAAAAAAAATAATTTATTTTTCATGCTTGCCCTTAGTATTAATTACTCATTCCAAATTATTTTTCAAATTCATTAATACTATACACCAATTAATATGGGTATCATGATAAATTATATATTTTATTTATTATTTTTTAAGATGTGTGCAAAGTCAACAATTGACAAGTAAAAGTGAACGGGGAGTAAGTATCATGGCAGACTCTAACTAAGGATAGTTTTGGTATGTGCTAAAAGTTAATTGTTCTTTCTTAAATTTCATGTCCAATGAAACATCATCATATAAAAATAAAACTTAGGGAATATTTGAAAATTATGAAACTAAAGTATTTTCACCAAAATCAAACAATTATGTAATAAACCGAAAAAGAAAAAAGAAGACTAAAACAAATGTGGTTGAATATTATAGACATGTGAATCGGCCGTTCAGCTGCGGGAGAAGGGTGAAGTGGTGGTTGGTGAGACTACGCTCAAGTACTTGGGATCCGTCCATCTCCAAAAGGGTGTTATTGACCCTCATTTTGAGGTAATTTTTGTTTTCCCATAATTTAAAAAAAAAAAAAAAAAAAAAAAAC